CACACACACACACACACACACACACACACACACACACATCAAATAATATTAGTGAAGGATGCCTTACTAAGAAAATTGTGAAGCATGCTTGGTTAGTTTCTCTACCTTAAAGCACTGAGGATCTGTTTTCTTACTGTATTCTTATCTTACAACTTCATGGTTGCCCCATCCTGAAAGTCTTATCTAAAGCAAGGCGGTATGATAAGAATGGACAAAAGTATTCTCGTGTCTGATACAATTTTTTTCTAACATCCAAATGAATACTGTTGACTTCCCACATCGTGAACATGGTCTGATTGTATTTCCTTCATATTTTAATTTCATAGATTACAATTTTAAGTAGACACAAATTTTCTAATATATATGCAAAACCAAAATATGCTTCTTACAAAAACTACCTCCTCTTTCTAGAGATGTAGACATAGTGTGCTGGTCTAAATAAGAATAACCTCCATAGGTCCATATATTTTAATGCTTAGTCACCAGGTAGTGGAACTATTTAATAGGATTAGAATGACTAGGAAGAATGACTTTGTTGAAGGAAGTGTGTCACTGGAGGTGGGCTTTGAGGTTTCAAACGCCCATGACAGACCCTACATTACTCTCTGTGCCTTCAGATCAGGATGAAGCTCTCCAGTACCATGCCTGCCATGCCTGCTACCATGTTCCCTGGCATGATTATAATGGACTACACCTCTGAAACTGTAAGTAAGTTCCTAATTAAATTAAAAGTTGACACAGGCTCTTTATAGCAATGAATACTGACTAAGGCACATAGGTATAAAATAACATAGGCTTTGCACATTGTATTAAAATAATTATGTATATACCTCAAACCAATTCACTTTTGCATTAGGACATCAGATTTGCTTTGACTTAATTAAATCTAAAGTTTCCAACTAGGAAAAGAATGAAGGTTTAAAACAAAGCTTATTTAAAATACGAACATTTGATATTATATACTGAAGTTATTCAATGATAAAAATCAATCTGTCAGCATTATTGACAGCCATCTGCCATTGCTTACTGAAGCTAGGGATAATTCAATTGATGATCTTTGCTGCATTGTACATGAACTATAAACTGAAAACTGCTGTTCAAGCATCTTGCAGGATGATCCTTGCCAGTGCTGATGCTGCATGCATAGTCTATATTTGGCAGAAAACAGAGGAACAAACCTGGTCCACAATGTCATTCACTTTATCCCTTTCACAGTCAAGGATTACACGCCGTTCTTTTTTTAACTCCAGATCTTGAAAGAGCGATCTGTAGGTCTCATCTTTCTTGTCATTGTTAATGTTCCCCACATTGATAGCAGTCACCTGCCATTTCTTCTCAGCAGCAGAATCCAGTACAGCTTGCAGTGTTGATAAGCCTGGGAAGACAATGGGCAAGGATGACTGATGAGGATACTGGAGAATCTCAGAACCAGAATGGGAAATGGCCAGATCCACATTGTTAAGCTTGATGTATTTCTGCAGCTATGCGGAGGCTGAATTCTGACAGAAGCTATGATTTTTTTATCAGTATCTGCTATGTCTGTGTGAGATTAAATAGGCAAAAACAAACTGCCAAAGGAAATTTAGATCACATTCTTTATAACTCTGAGATGTGCTTCTTGTAACGTGCTGACATACAAGATCTACAATATCTCTAAATTAACTAAAATGAAAAAAAAATCCCATATCCCACTTTATAGAAGGTAAAATAGTTTTAGCTGTATGTGATAGTCCACCATTTTGTACTGGTAACTTGATGGGGTTTAGTCCACATGGACTCCCTGAGCAGCTGAATACCACAGTCAGTGATAGCTAAAGGCTGCCCTGTAGCCTTTGCTGTTCCAGTCAGCAGCAGAATGAGGGCTTTTTTTTTTTTTCCTTCTGTAGTCTTCTGTTATGTTTTTGTTTTTGGAATTGCTCTTGTGGATATTAAATTGTTCATCTATTAACCAGATGGTGGCAGCTATTTCTCTATACAGATTTATCTCATTTCCTAAATATAAGACTATTTTTCTATTTGTTAGTAATTTTTGTTAGAGTGTGATATTGCTTCATTATGGTATTTAATTATACATAAACTGTAGCATGTTTAGAACTTTAGGATCAACAACCGGGGTTGGGATTATTTCTTGAAGAGCTAAATCTACAGTTTAGTACTACAAAAATAGCAGATGTCCTTTTCTTCCATATAATTTAATTTCAGCTGTTCTCACTAAAGCCAAGTTCATCATGTAGAAGAATAACTTCATGAAAACATGATCTCAAGGCCCCATAAAGAATTCAGACTCAATATATTATCTTCTTCATTTCAGAATGATCTGTATAATTCTAAAAGTACACTGATCTGTTTTTATCTATATGGTGTATGATTCACCTGATTTGAGCACATTTATTTATAATCTAAGTTCAAATACTAAATTTACAATGGCCAGGAAGGGAGCAGCTATCTGTTTTTTCCATCAACATTTCAAGCTATAAAAAGTCATTGACAATCATATGGATTTAGTGTTAGTCATAAGTAGACAAAGTGATTTAGGATATCTTTTGATATTGACAAACAAGTAAATTCCCCAAAGAAGCTATATGCCAAAGGCTGAAGGTGCCATTTGTAGCTCTTTCAATAAAGATGAGGAAAATGCAGCATCAGTCAAAATCATGATGGCAATGGACTCAAGGATCTAATGTTTATTTGATTTAAATGCATGAAATCATAATTAAAATAAGTATTAAAATATTTGTTTTCTTTAAATGGGTGACAACCAATTAACTTTTTTGAAAACAAAAACAAGCAAGAACTGTGGGGTTGTAGAGGCTTTTCCTACATGGAATATACTCAAGGTGAAGATAAAAATCAAGGTTTTTATTTTTCCTTTAGACAAAATCCAGCTAATACACAATGAACACACATGTGTTCAGAATCAACACTGTGTGACTTCCAATGAAGTTAGTGAGTCAAGGCAACAACTGTCAACTGTTCTGTGCCACTTAGTACACAGTTGGACTGATATACAAAACTGAATCTTATCAGGCTATACATTTACAGGGAATATATGAGTATATAATGAGCCCCACGGTGTTCAGATTATCAAAATCTAGAATAGGAAGTAGATCATAAAATAACAATTCTAAGAAAATACATTAACCAACCATGATACATAGAACTCATTAACAATTAACAATGTATATATATATATATATATATATATATATATATATATATATAAAATAAGAGAACTGCATATACATGAAAAACTGATGATGGTTATTATTTTATTCTAAAGAAATGAAGGGTGATAAGAATATCAGATAAAACAATAAAAGTTTTTATGTAGTATTCATTGTGAAAGGGGTTAAAAATTCATGGCACCCTGGGTGTGCTGCCACTACTCTGTAATCTTAGGTCTGGAAAGGCTGAAGCAGTAAAACCATGAGTTTTAGACTTAGTCGCTAAACAAATGCATGGCAATATTTCTAATGTAGTTTATAATGAAAATTAAAAATACTTTACCTTCATAGACAGTACATAATAGAGTGAACTCAAATCAATCTGGGGGAGATTAACCAAAGCCCCTTCTGTCTGCTTTTATAATAAAAGGTAGAGATAAACATGAATTTATCAAGGGGTGGCATAGATTCCCCCATCACTTAGAAAAAAAACTTTCAGTCATAAAAGCCTAGAATCCATCGTAAAGCACCCGTGATTGCTGTTCACTCTTGGCAAATTCAATCCCCCCAGGTTGTAACTCAAGTGCCTTGTCAGCTTCTCATCACCAATAAAGGCAGAGCACGTACAACTGGCCACCTCATCAACTCAACAGCTATAAGCTGCTTGGAAATATTTTTTGTAACTACTCCACTGTCTTTTCATTCTTCCAGTTATCAGACATGTGCCTCCAGTCACCTTAAAAACATGTCCAAGAATAAGGGTCATGCTCTCCCCATTTTATCATATAGCCATTCTTGGGAGCCTCCTTTACTCTATGCACTAAGATATTTTATTAAAGAATGAAATTTCCACACTGAAAACTTTGAGTGTTAATGTATTTGGCATTATCTTGTCTTTGACAGATACTATAAGAAAATTTACATTTAAATTCACTTATAAATGTGTAAGTAGATTTCATCAAGTGATAAATTTAAGCCTAGAATTTATTGGCATTTCACAATGTCAAAGAATATAGAGATAATATATAAAATAAAAGATAATGGATTTTTTTTTAACAAACTTAACTTTCAAACTCATTTATTCTGTGTGACAAGTAATGTGCACTCAGTATAGACTCTCCATTATTAAAACTCTTAGTATTAATATTTTGGAAGCTGTGTAACCTGACACAAATTACTTCTTTTTAAAAGCTCAACTTCCCAAGTAGTGCTATATCAGATTTGCTACATTCTGTCAGTTGACATTGCATAATAGCACATCAGTCATTTACAAGCTGAGGTCTAATCTCACCCCAAATTTGAAGAGGCTGTTGCACCTTGCTCAGGAATCGACTCTCTTAGATTATTTTTCAGAGGTAGCCACAGACTTTCTCAAGATTAGCTACTTAATTTCCTCATTCCTCACAGCTGATAATCTTGTAAGATTTCTATTGACAGATTTCTTCACACTTCATTCGAGACTTTTAAGTCATGAGACTGACTCACTGCCTGCTTCACCAAGTGGGCAATGCTTTTTAAATTACATACCACTAAAAATGTGTGTTCTAGCTATGAAGATGTGACTAACCTCTTCTTTGGCAACCCAACTCCACACTGCTGTTCTCTTGGCCCTACAATGTAACTATGAAATAAAGCAAGCTGAGTTCTTTTCCTTGTCATATGAAATGGCACAGAGATTTCTCCATCAGTACATGAAGCCCTTAATTAAGATAGAAATGTGTGTGTGAATCAGAAGCTCTACATAAACACTGGTTTATGTAAAGCTATCTGTGAGCATTATTCACTCAACCCAGATACCTATTCTGCTGTATCATGTCATCTTGCTTACTTCTTATTTCTAAACAATTTAGCAAGAAGAAAGATGTTGAAATAAATAGCTGTCCATGTAAAATTGGAAGAAAAAAAAAGTATCTACCCTTTTAATCATTTTAAATAGAACCTTAAAAATTTCCAGTTATGAGTCCAAAATTAAGTTCTTAACGCTACTTAGTTCTTAAACATTTGGATTTAGAAAGAAATGGCTAGTTCAACATTGTTAACAATAGGCTTTGTATGCATGCCCTAATTATAAGCTGACAATTTTTCTAAAATTCAAAAAATGACTAGCAGCAATGCTAATTTCATATATACTCACTGTCCATGACAGTAAGAGAAAATCAGAGAAAAATTTTAGCTTAAAATTCCTTTCATTTACTTATTAAGGGCTGAAATTTAAAGTGATAACTGCTGGAAGGCATGTTCCATTCAGAACTGTCTTCATTCTTTTTTTTGTTTTGTTTTTTTTTTTTGTTTTTTGTTTTTTTGTTTTTTTGGTTTTTCGAGACAGGGTTTCTCTGTGTAGCTTTGTGCCTTTCCTGGAGCTCACTTGGTAGCCCAGGCTGGCCTGGAACTCACAGAGATCTGCCTGGCTCTGCCTCCCGAGTGCTGGGATTAACGGCGTGCATCACCACCGCCCGGCTTCATTCTTAAAATTATTATATTTTTGCATAAAAATTTCACAATCTCACTCGTTCTAGGCAGTGTAATTAATATGTATACTCACTAACTCATTGCACTGTGCCTAAAGTAGATTATATTAACATGTATTGCCCCATCAGTTTTTCCAGGACATCAGGGGAAAAAAATATAGTTTGGAAGCATTTTAGTTCTATGCCAGGTGATTTCTTTGACCTGGAATCAAGCTCCTTCACTTTGAGGGTTAAACAGTGTTCGTTCAAAATTAAAACCAAGACACAAATATAGAAATGAGGCATTGATCCTGTTTTCACTTACTGCACAGAGAAATGTATCACCTTTCTTTATTGACATTGAACCAATAAACACATCATTAGACTCAAATTAAAATATATTGCACCTGTATCCAAAGATCAAAATTATAAGGCCTAATGGGCTGGCAGAGGTGGCCCATTACTCTAGTTAAATATGTTACAATGCTCCATCTCACTGCTCCCAGTGCACTAATAGCACAAGGCTTTCAGGAAGGGCACAGAGTCCTCAAGGAGTATCACGCTCCTGCCAAGTAGCTGGGTAAAGAGAAGACACTAGCAATTCTGAAATGTCAGCGGGAATGGGAAGAACAGCATCTGATTTCCTGTCACCAGGAAACTGAGATTGGTGGAAGACGATTCTATACAAAGATCACAGCACCCAAGGCTTCCCACATTTCTGCTGTGATGTAACCACAGCCTTTGGATGGATTTTGGGAAACACAGTTCAATTAATTACAGTATTAGTTAAAAGCAGCATGATGAAACAGAATATGTCTAAGTCTCGTTCATCTGGTTTATAAATTTGGGGAGGACATTGTTGGGAAGGGAATTTCCATGTCTAGGTCTCATGCTATTCAAAGGAACTTTTATTTTATTTTATTCATCATAGTGTAACACTATACACTACACAAATCCATGTAATCAAGGAGGTAGAGAGGGGAGCATATTGAGAAGGGAACCTGCAATGATGTCCATTGATAGAGGAAATTATGGGACCTGCTTAAAAAGCATGATCAGTAAGAATAAGGCAGCACAGGAGGCCCTCCACAGCAGGTAAGGCTAAGGTGGGGAGGCAGCCCACGAGAGAACTAGGGAAAGGGCAAAGAAAGAGCGGTTCACAGAATGAAAGCATGGATAACTTTAACATCATGCAAAGTGATAAAAATTAAGCCACTAATTAGACAAAAGTAGTCAGCAATAACTCCATTTCCATTAGCTAAATAAAACATAACATCAAGGCCAAGGCCCTGTCTGCATTTGAGAGTCTTACATATTTATCTCTGGAAAGAGTTGTCAGTGGAAGGCTTGTGTAACACTTAACACATTAAAACATCGGCAGCTACATGATAATACCTCAAAAGTGTGCCCATAAGGTCACTTTGGCTTTAATATATAATTACTTAATATCATGACACTAATGTTCTTTGGCCAACAGATGCACTTGACTCAAATCAATTTGTATAATTTAATAATTGGAGATTATCTCATCCTTCCCATTTTATTTAATATTTTGAAAGTATTAATAAAAATGCTGTAAAATGCCCCAGATTCTCTTTGCAAGTACATACGTCTGCCAGCCCTCACTTGACAGTTCCCCAGCTCCTTTTATTGCTGAGCATCTCTCTTCCAGTCTTTGTGTTTCTCTTCCTCTGTTTATGCAGCTGATATCTATTTGAATATTTTTGAGACTCACATTTTTTTTTTCATTGAAAATAGATTCTTCTCTCATATAATACATTCTGACCACAGGCCACAGTTTCCCCTCTGTCCACTACTCCCAGTTCCCCACAATCTCCTTTCTCCCCCAGATTTACTCCTCCATAGTTGCTCTTCAGAAAAGAACAGGCCTCCAAGAGACAACAGCCGAACAGGACAAAACAAGATACAATAGCACAAGGCAAAAGCCCTCATGTGGAGGCTGGGCAAGGCAATAGGAGGAAAAGAATCCCAAGAGTCAGAGATAAACTCACTTTTAACCAATGGGAATACCAGAGTGAAGACAAGGCTAAGGGTGAGAAACATTCCTAAACTAATGCCATATTTGGCCTCATCCACAAGTAAAATTTGTTCATCTTCTACACTTTCAACTTAGCAAGCATAATAATCAGGTCAAATTTAAGACGTCCGAACATTTAACTCATTCAGTGAATGTCAAAACTGTGTCTAGCATTACCTGTAGCTCTGCATGTCTAGTTGTGAACCTCACACCCTGGGTGAGGAGTGCTCCTGGTTAGTGCCTTCCTGCAGCTAACACTAATGCCATAAATAACAATTAGACCTTATGCTGGGTGACTAAATCAGTCCCTGGGATGTAGTGGAAGTTCAATAAATAGTTCTGGAGTGACACAGTCAATGACACTATTAATTATGAATTGTTATACACCCTAGGAAGGTAAATAAAACATTGCTTTGTAAGAAAATGCAAGTATGAGAGGTGTCTCTCAGGAAATGATATATGGAAGCAGACATCAAGAGGTTCTACAAACTTGAGCTATGTGCAGACCTTTGAGGTGAAAGAGTTTGGCCCGTGTCAGAAAGTGAAAGAAGGTCAATCAGACTTAGGATTTATATTTAGTGAATAAGCAAGTCTCAAGAACTCACTGGAGAATGGGGCGGGACCCAAATATTATAAAGCCTGAAAGCCAGGCCTAGAATTTCAATCTTATCCTCATTATAGTGTGAAGAAGTCATTGAAGTCTTTCAAGCAAGTGGGAGGCAGATTGATGCTGAAACAACAACAACATTTAAAATAATTCTGACTGCTTTATTGAAAATGGGTCACATAGAGACCAGTATGGCATTAAGGAGATGAAGTACTGGACATGTGGTGGTACATTGGCCTGGGAAGATAGGTCCAGAAAAGAAGCCTATAGAAATGAAATACAAGCCGGGCGGTGGTGGCGCACGCCTTTAATCCCAGCACTCGGGAGGCAGAGCCAGGCGGATCTCTGTGAGTTCGAGGCCAGCCTGGACTACCAAGTGAGACCCAGGAGAGGCGCAAAGCTACACAGAGAAACCCTGTCTTGAAAAAACCAAAAAAAAAAAAAAAGAAATGAAATACATATAGATGGAAATAACAACACTACAATGCAAGTGTGAGAAATTGATTTAAAATATACCCAACTTCTGGAAGAGTTCTAGGGAAATCAAGTCCTAAAAAAGTGGCCACAGGGCAAAAGGGAAGGCTAAATACCCATAAGCTCAGTTTTAGAACCTTTTTTTTTTTTTAAAAAAAAAAAATCACATTCACAGGAAGCCCATATTAAAGTCATCCTGAACCTTGAAATCCACATTTACCATCATGACTCTTTCTGTAGTTTTCATGCATAGTGTAGATATCAAATCTTCCTTCTCAAAGCAGGGGAAAAAGTTGTTGACACTGATTTATTTTAGTTTAGTTCAGTTTAGTTTATAGAGTACTGACTGGCTTTTACAGAGGCCAGTCATACCATGGTTCAAGGGGACAGGGCGGAGCAAAGATGTCTAACTTGAGCACGCCTGTCTGTCTCTGAACCACAGCAGCCAAGTCTGGGTGATCCATGGAGAATGGACTGATGCTGGTTCCCTTCCAGTCTTCCCTTCAGCATAACTAGGTGCCCTGTCTTTGTCAAAATGGACTTCTGAATTTCATTTGAAATTTTAAGTACTCCAAGAAGTGAGCTGCTGATGGATTCAGTGTGGAGATTAGCTCCACTTATATAAAAATCTTTACCCTCTTGTCTGTGCTTATAGGTACTCTCCAAAGGCACATAAACATCCCCACAAAATGTTTCATACCATCCGGTGTGTGCACAGACTCATGTAAGCTCACTATAGAACTGATGAATGTTAAGAAGACTTTGGTTCCAAAACCCCAAAAGCAGACCTTCTAGTATTAACCTTCAAAACAAAGAGTATAGAAACATAAAAAAAATTCCCCATCCCCTAATTAGTGCACTCATATAACACATAAACAATCCTGTGGAATTATATAAGGCAGCTTGGGTTGGATACCAGAGGCCTGTGCTGGACTATCCTACACACAAGTAGTCATGACCTCAGAGCAGCTGGTGACTTGTCTCAGGTTCAAAGACCTTATTTTAAAAGCAAGGCTACTTCCTTCCTGATAAATCTTTTACACTGAACAAGATTTAGTAACTATAAACTACTACAAATCTTCCTGTTTATATGCTTGTGTGAATTCCTTTTAAGTCACTCATCCTCTGATTAGGAACATAGCCGTTCTGGGGTCTTTGTTGCTCACACGTCAAGCTGTTCTATGCTAGGACTGAACACTAAGTCATTACATTGTCACAGATTATCCCTATCAACTGTGCTCTCAAATATTAAGTTGTGCATTCTGTTCTTCTTGATTATGTGCCTGTGTTTTTGTTGTTGTGTCTTGTTCTGTTTTTTGTTGTTGTTGGTTTATTTGGTTTTGTTTTTTGTTTTGTTGTGTTTTACTTTAAGCATATATACATACTAAAATTGCATTATCCATTTACACAGTAAAATTAAACAACAAAATTCTTGTGCCTTTATACACCTTTATATTACTAAAGCAGTACATATAAATACCAAGGGCAAATGCTGTGTTTGACTGATTAAAAAGGGTTACATTCTGTCACCTACCTCTGTCACTGTCGTAGAGGTATGCAAACTTGTCCCATTGGTAGTACTCGATCAAACTAAGAAGTGCTCCTTTGAGGTCAGGTCGCATCTGGATGACAAATGGATGTGTGCCATCTGTTGGGAAGCTGGGTGTGATGAAGGACACATGGAGTGTCCCACAGAATGATGTTATGGTATTTACAGACTTCTTGTCATAAAATCCAAAGATTGCGTAGACTCCTCTTGAGAACTGGGAACAGACTAGAAATTGGAAATACAAAAGGAGAAGTTATTTAATCATTGTGTGATCACATGGATTGTCCTAAAATGCAATATTCATATAAAGTACAAAATAATTACCAGATCAAACGAAATAGTAAGTGAATATCAATGATTCATCAAAATTTAAGGGAACTTATTCATTTAGCATTCAATTAAGTGATTAAGAAACACTATACAGGATAAAAAATAGCAGATAAGGCTACAAGAAAATGCATAGATTATGTAACATGCTTAATGGATAAATGTGTTTTAGGACAGGTTTTTTAAATGTATAAGACATTAAGGTTCTAATTTTTATTTTAATTAAAATGTAATTAAATCTCAATCCAATCCCTCTTATGTCCCCCTCCCCCATTTCATCTCAAATTTATGACCTCTTTTTCTTCACTTATCACTGTTGCATACACATAAATACATAAATACAATCTGCTGTCTTTTTTTTTTTTGCTTGTGTGTATATGATTTCATGGCTGAGAGCTTTTTATTGGGTAACCAACTAGAGGCTCATCCCTGAGAGAGGCTAATTCTTTCTCCCTTAGCAGCCATTATCTGTCTGTAGAATTTTTGTCTAGGAGTGTCATCCCATGGGATTTATCCCTTTCACTTTATCATAACTAGTGTTAATTTTAAAAACAAACTGTAGTTATCTAGACAATATACTCTCTCAAAACAGCTTATTCCTAAGAAAATCAGATTCCTTAAAAGGCTTTATGTGATGCCGGGCGGTGGTGGCGCACGCCTTTAATCCCAGCACTCGGGAGGCAGAGCCAGGCGGATCTCTGTGAGTTCGAGGCCAGCCTGGGCTACCAAGTGAGATCCAGGAAAGGCGCAAAGCTACACAAGAGAAACCCTGTCTCGGAAAACCAAAAAAAAAAAAAAAAAAAGGCTTTATGTGACCCAAGGAGATGGCACAGTTGATAAAATGCATACCTTACAAGCAGATAACTGAGTTTGAGCCATATAACCCACATTAAGAAGCCAGACATAGTGTCATGCATTAGTAATACCAACATTGGGGAGATGGAGACAGGAAGATCCCTGGAATTCACTAGTCAACTGGCCTAGCCTAATCAGTAAACCCCAGATTCAAGGACAGGCCCTGTATAAAAATAAAGTAGAATACTATCACAGGGAACAACACTCAAATAAGAATTCTGTCTTCATCATGCACATACATACACACATGAGCATGGTCACTGGCAGATTTCTTCAGTCTAATAAGAATGGTCTTTTGAAACATCAACATGACTGTATCTCATTTGGGAAGTAAAAGCTACTTGGTCCTGGACTACAATGCTCTATTTCCATCTGTGACAGTCTTCTAGTCACCAGCGCAGGTGATCAGAGGCTTTTGATGGATGCGTAGCTGGTATTTTCCAAATGTTGCTGAACATTTTCCAAATGAATTAACTCCACATGAAGGTAAAACCAATACTGTCTTATTTCACTGTGTCTCTTCACGAAGAAAAGTAGAAATAAATTTGTCTCATGAACAAGAACCTTGCTAAAATACATGCAGATTCTAATAAGCAAATCAGGATGATCAATAAATAATAGCCAACGTTTCAATAATTAAGTAATGTAATTGAATGGATAGTGATATCAGCTATTCCTCTGAGTGGTCCATATTTCTAAACAATTTCTCTTTTCCTGTAAATATTTCTTGGCATTCTGTTTACTTCTGTTGATCTAACTAACATAAGCTTTCTGGGTTTTTAGGTTACATCTGTATAATATATTTTATATCCCATCTTTTGTTTTTAAACTTCTGCAGAATGGGCTGATAATATCAGAGAATATTAGGTGACTTTTCATATACTCCAAGATGAAATTATAGTGTTTTATTTATGTCCATATTATTTGTCCTCCTCTAGGCAAAAATAAAAGGTAGCCTTTAATATATTTGATGACTGTGTCTGTTCATCATATAGATGAAAAAGACCTTTGGCTATTAAGTCTTATAGGCAAATTACACAATGATCTCTTACTTTGTGCATGGATACATGCATACTGACATGGGAATCTTAAATTTAAATTGGTTATAATTTTTGTTAAATCTTAGATTGATGAAGTGTGACATCTGAAAAGGGAGGATTGATGTAAAATTCTCTCTGGATCTTCTTTATTTGATTTCCAGTGAAAGGTTGGCATGGCATCTAGACACTATGGGGCTATCATGCAATATGATTTATTGATGGAGTTTCCTCTCTTAATGCAATAGTTTCTGTGATGGAAAGAGCAGCCACAGCATCACCTGAATGCTTGAAAAGGAAGCCACTGCTTGAATACAGAATCTCAGTGAGGACCCATATCTTTAATTTTCCATTGGTTTAGACTGCGTTGCCAAGAGACCTTTGTGTTTTGTATCCAGCTGGAAGCACTAACCTTTGTCTCAATAAGAACATGTTGTACAAAACTTTTTAAAGAAACTACAGCTATTTTAACTCAGAAACCATTTTTCTAGGAAATTCTGACAATTCTTCAGTAAATATTATTTTTAAAAAAATGGTCTTTGTCTACCGACAACCCTTGGTCATCCTCCCCCTATCATATTACCTTTCATGAATTATAATGACTTTCTTTTTTCCTACTGTACTCTATTTTTTGGATATTTCTCTCGTAATATCCTGTTTCTACACATTCCATTTGACCAATATTTCTCAGTCATGGCCACTACTCCAAGATATGGTAAGAGTGTCATTGAGGTCTATGAGCAAGCATCTTAGCTGAGGTACTGTTTCCAAGTTCACAATAACAAACTGAGAAGGGAAACTTAATTATCATGTTACTTCAGTGGCTCACATCCAAATGTCCAAGACCTCCTTCTGCAGTCTCATACTGTTGTTTCCCCAGTGGAGCGCTGCATTTGAATTTGTATTGCTATCACAGGTGCCTGATAAGAAAGCTCTCTTTGCATTCCTTTCACATGCATGTAGTAAAAGTCTATGGTAGAACTGAGTTCAATTCATAGATGTCAGGAATCAGAGTGAGATGAAGAAAGGACCAGTGTAAGTTATCACTCCCAAGAGCATGCCCACAGTGACCTATTGCCTCCAGGTAGGCACTAACTTCCACTTTCTTTCAATTTCCTAAAAACTTCACAAACCGGAGAGCAAGCATTTAACATTAGCAAGAGGTAAAGGGGACAGTTCCTATTCACATTTTAACATTTTGTTCTGCCTTCCAAAGGCTTCTACCCATCTCATAATGAAGAATGAGTAGTCTATCTCTGAGAGTGAACATTATTTTAGCTGTTATGAAATTGGTTTAAAGTCCAAATGCAAAGTCTCTTCTGAAACACATGCCAAACTCTTACCCATGACCCATTATAAAGTCAATAAGAAGGTTGTGTATTTCCATGACACAAATAACAAAATATAAATCCAATTCTAAAATAAAGTAATAGGGATAACAAGGAAGGCAAGAAGGGAAAAAGGAGGAGGAAGGGAAGGAGGAAGGAAAGGAGGAAGAGGAGGAGGAGGAGGAGAAGAGGAGAAGAAGAAGAAGGAGAAGGAGAAGGAGGAGGAGGAGGAGGAGGA